TCTGTTTTCTTCTATAACATTTCCATTATTGTACATCTTATCTTCCAAATGCATCCTTTTTGGATTTGCACTGGAATTGTAATAATGCAGGGGCAGGAATTGATGTATAATACTGGGCTTTCCTTTTCTAGGTTCATGGCATGCCTCCCCTTTTCCAGGTCTTTTGTATCTTTTCGTAAAACTTTGCAGTTTCTTCACAAACGTCTTTCACACTTCATGTTAGGTGTAATCCTATTTTATAATCATTATTGGTTATTATAAATGGGGGTTGAAAAAAATTGGTTATTAGTGTGAATGGAAGTTACTGATTTTTGTATGTTCCAGCCATCTGACTTTTTTACTCATTCCAAGAGCTGGTTGGTAGATTCATCTGGGCTTTCCCTATAGATGGTCAAATTGGCTGAAAATGTTTTACCCCTTCTATTCCACTAGCGATGCCTAAATTCTTAGCATGGGTAGTGGGCCTCCTTAGTTTGTTCTGATTTTAATTCTTTTAATATCTCACCATGAAGTAAGATGTATCACAGTGGGATTGTATCCGATAACTTCAAATAACTTTGGGACATTTACTTTGCCTAGAGGTTTTACTTTTCCTTGAGGTTTTCTCATGAATGTGGGCTGAAACTTATCCTATGCAAATTTATCAAACAGCATCTATTAAGTAAATCATGTTTTTTTCTTCTTTTACTTTGCGCAATAGTAGCATAGGTTTTTCTAATCACTCATTTTGTTTCTGGTATACTTTAAAAATTGTATAGTATTGTATTTACTATAATATTTTATGTAGTTTATGACCTGGGTTTTAAGTATTATACTTGCATTGCTTATCAACTATTAACAAACCAGTCTATTAAAACCATCATGATTATTCTAATGTAAAAAGTATAACCTTAATAAGCCAGTCAGAAGTCCACATTATTCTTGTACATGTCTTTGGAGAAGTGGGGATGAGCCGTGGTAGCATCACTTAGGACTCACTTCGATTTGGCCTGTATTTGCCATGGAGTTGTCAGATAACCTTAAGCAGGACAAAACCCCTCTTGGCTTCAAACTGAAAATCTAGAAAATGGGTCATTGACAGGATAAATGATAACAGGCTGGGAACAGTGTCAACTGCTGTATAAACGTTGGAAATTATTAAATTGCACATCAGGTAATTTTATATTTAACTGTAATTACGAATGAAGATACAATATAAACACATGAAAATCTCCAAAGCCATGTAAAACCCGAAGGCATTAAAATTTATTAAATGATGCAATAACAACAGAATTCTTTATTTACAATAGCATTATTTAACATCAAATAAGCAAATAGCATCAAGCAAAGCAATATTAACTTGCATAAATGTATTTAAAATTTCTCTGAATATATCTACCTTTTGCATAAACTGCTCACACTAGAAATACAAACATCAATGCAGGTGAACAAAGTGATGTCTGGAGTCAACTCCATTTTGAAAATAAATCACAACCTGAAACACTGTAAGCTTTCTCCTGAAGAACCATAGTTAATATATTGCTTAATTTTACCCTTGTATAATCTTTTCATATACACACATCTCAGATGCAACTTCATGAGGAACTGTACAAATAAAACCCACAAATGGCATAAGAAAAAAAAAAAAGACAGTTAAATGTTTGAAGAAATGTATCATCATCACCATTCGACAACATAAAGGTTAAGTGATGATGCACTTATTCAAAAAATTGTACACAGTTCACTATACAAATATAATACATCGGACAGCTATGTAGGAATATACAAGACTTAAAAACAGATCTAAGGCATTATGCTAGATTTTAGCATTTTGAGGTTCTTGCACATAGCTTTTACCTGTAGTAAGAAACTTAAAAGATTTCATTTTAGTCTATAAAGAAACACCAGGGAGAAAATTCTAATTAAAATCGAAGCCACTACAGTAATTTTCTTTTGTGCAGAGAATGCTTTGCTCTTAGGCAGCATACTACCATACAAATACTAGAAAATTTTAAATTCACACCAACAATTAATGGCTTAAGTTGCATTTCAAAATTGATTGTGTATCTTTGGGTTCTGCAAGGGGATCTGTGCCACCCATTTCATGTGTTAAGCCCATAGGAACTCCGTTTTTAAACACATTAAAAACTGCATTATATAAACTGCAAAAACATTGCTTTCAATTGTTACAGGCCATAAGAGATACACGTGGAAGGGGGCATTTTCATCTTCGAGTTCAACGAATTCATTGCAGGAAAACAGCTCACTTCACTTTTTCAACTTACCACGTCACATGAACACGTAGATGAGTTTCACAACCAAGTTAATGTATGTATACTTTTCACATTATGTGTTTTTCACATTTAGTAATATAAGTAAAACACTGATTATTTGTTCTATTAAACGAAAACCAAGTACTCAGTCTAACAAGTTTACTGTATACAGCATGAGAAATACTGATCATGGAGGGATTGATTTGGCTTTTGCTTCTATCATGATCAATGTGATCAGAGGATTCCTTCACTGACTTTTCTTCTCTTAATTAGATGTAAAATCCACGACCTGATCTGAGCCGTAAGAGAACTGATCATCTCTTTTCCTTCAAAACGGTAATGATCATGAATTATTCCAAATTACCAGTATCACAGGTTTGCAGATTTGTCTGAATTGGGACCGAGAGTAGAACACAGTGGGCGGAGGAATAAACAAGAAAAGGTACACCGGTATTTTTGGACAGTGTTCTAGTGAAAAGGGACTTAAAACTCAAAACAAACAAATCCAGCTTAAACTCCATTTCTCTTCTGTGCTGTGTGAAGTTAAAGTCATTCTAATTCACGCGTTTCTAAAGATCAACTTGGAACTGGTCACGTTACACCGTGTATGACATAAGCCTTGTGGTGCCGGTGAGGACACGGAGTTCAGGGCCAACATCTGCCCGTGTTTTTCTGTCACAGTTGGGCGACCCAGTGGTTCGGCTGAGAAAAGCAGAGCCTTTCAAGAGGGACGTGTGAACTGGTGGCCCCAAGAAGTGCTGTCCCTCGGCCACCTCCCTGTAGTGAGACCCCCTCAAGTGGAAAAAAGTAGCGAAATGCAAATTTTCCGAAAATTTCTTTAGTATGGAGCCACACTTTCAGACTGTCTACTTACCATTCATCTTTGGGCTATATCTCTTTCTATACTTCCATAATCTGTACGTATAGAGAGAGATATACGTATAAATAGGGGTAGTCTGTATATTTTTCACCCTGCCACAAATAAGGACTCAAATTTCAAGGAAAAACCTCTCTGTTCCTAAAAAGCCTGGCTTAATGAGATATAAAATGCTTTGCTTTTTAGACATCAAAAAGACATCATTCTGAAATTTAGGTAAGAAAGTATGTGTATTAGGGGTTGGGGAGAAATTGCTCAAAAAAGGTCACCAGTTTCTTGGTATTACAGTTGTCTGAAACTGATGCCAATTAAGAAAAGATTGTTCCCCTACCAGAGTGGGCAAGAAAAACAACCAGAAAAGTGGCCTGCTTAGTAACACGTAGTCTTCCTAAGGTTCATTAAGAAAGAATATAAACATATAAAAATCAAGAATCGGTTTCTATAGCGGCTGCATTATCATATAGATTAGATAAATGACTTATGAGCAGAATCACAAGGTTTAGAAAATAAAAAGTCTTAAGTCTACAAATTAGGTCTAATCGAGGCCGTGACAGCCTTTACAAAACACCTTTAGGAGACGTTGCTATGAAGATATCTAATTTTAATACTGAAGTACCTCATTTTGGAGTCAATTCCACAGTATGTAAACCTCACAAAAATTATACAATTAAAACACTTAAGTTCTCAACTTAAATTATTGCTTGTTTACATATAAATTGGATTTTATGTACCTTACAAAACTTCGGCTTAGTCAGCACTGCTAAAAAACAAAATAAAAAACACATGGCGGAGGTGAAATCTGTCGTGATGTCTGCTGTCAATTTTAAGCACACTATTATTTTCTCCTGTTTGGTGGACCAGTGTTGCTGGGGAAGAGAATGAATATGCTTTCAAAGCAGGTGTCCAAAGTCTGATGGGTATCAAGTCCTAACTTTGCTCCTCTCCTTGCCAGTAAATGCCTTTTTCTGAAATTTAAGGGTTAGCAATTGGTAAGTGGCTGGCAAAAGACGTAACGAAATAATAAAGGGCTTACCTGGTTTCTGTTGCTTTTATTAAAAAAAAAAAAAAAAAGCATGAGAGTGGGGAGAACGGGGGAAGGCAGAGGGGAAGGGAAGAGGCGGGGCCAGGTTCAAGAGGAGGTGCTGATTCAGGCTGTCTGAACGATCTAAGCGAATCTGGAAATGAAAACTGTTTCTTCTTGAGCCATGACTTGGGTGAACTAGTTTGGTTTGAATCAGGAAAAAAAAAAAAAAAAAGAGGAAAAAGTACTTGTTACTGTTAACAGCCCTCCCACAGGCTCCTTTTCATCTGTTCAGTAACTGGAAACGCTTTCCAACATGGTCTTGAGAGCTTTCTACAAAGATACAACTACGATTTCTTGGTCTTCACTTCTTGGGTGTCTCTGTACATTGGGCACGGTCCGTGGTGTCTCCCCTGCTTTTATCCCAAATGAAGGCTTAGCTTAAAACATCTGTAGTTTGATTTTTTTTTTTTTTTTTTAATTCTTTTCTTCCCCCCAGAAGAAATCTTACTCTTTGGGGCTGGACTGGTTAGCCAGGGAAAACAAAGCAAGAAACCAGTGTCTGGAACCAGACAGGAACAGAACAAGAGCATGGGTGTTTTCCTTAAATACATACATTTAGATACATTCAATCTGACACGGGTATGAAGTCTGCCTGTCAACATTTACTTTGCAGGAGAGATCTAAGTTGCACTAAGGTGAATGCAGTGAACAGACTGACAGTTGTCCGGACGCGAGCTGCAGACCGTCTATCAACACAAGAGGCAGCTCCTCCTGCAGCAGCCGAGGGGACTCCACCGGGGGAGCGGGGCCCAGGCCCGTCTGCCCATCTTGCTCTGGCGGGACTGGATGGCAGGTCGGTTGGGTCAAAACAAATAGACGCAGCTCTCCAGACTGGTAAGCATCTTGAGCAAGTGAGCCCAGTCAGCTGAAGAAAGAAGCAACCAGCTACCTTCAGTGTCAGCAGTATTTCTGTAGGAAAATGAGGAGAGAGAGTGGTGTAATAGCGTGGAATTTTTGGTAAGATCATCATAAGGCCCATCACAAAGACATCAGACCACTTGGCCGGTTTAAATAATGCCAGTCACAAAGGCTGCATCCGGATGAGTTACGCTTGATTTTGATGCAGATGAGCAGATGGCACTGATCCTAACTGAACACAGAGAGTGGTTCCCACAGCCGGCAGATCCTGCACGCTACTCCGAAGGGCACAGACGGCTGCTCTCTTACCAGTGACACCTGCCTCCGCAACAGAGATCACTGAGGTACCTGTGAGATACCCAGCTGCTGGACTGCCTGCTCTTTGACAGCGTCCAATCCAGAAGGGGTCACTATTTTCTTCATCTCTCCTCAAACCATCCAGTACAAACCCACTTCCTATAAAATGTCCCCTCTTGACTCTTCCTTACTGCCACACTCCCATGGAGAACCACAGGCTTCTCCCCAGCTTCTGCAGGCTAAATAAACTGGGGTTTTTGTCATCATCACTGTCATCGTCATTATCATCAACTCAAAGCTGATTTGAGTTAGTGTTCAATTTCCAAAACACTAGATAATAGAAGTAATTACAACTGTACTTTATACAAGTGTCCCGTGGCTGAGCAGTAAACTCTATTTTAATATACTGAAATACATGTGTAGTAACAGTATGATTAAGTCCTTATGAAAGGAAGAATCTTTTGGTTAGATAAAATAACTGCCCTTCTTTAGGTTTTGGTAAATCCATGGTTGTATATTCTAGCTCTGCTTGAAGCAAGATAAAATTTTAATCTCCATCCCAGGATAAATGGAACACCGATTCAACGTATAATGGACCACAGTGGTTTCTACTTCAAATAAATAGAACCTGATCACCAATAAAAGTTCTGAGAACAGCTCCTCGCTTCACAGCAGCAGCAGCAGGGTATGTGACAGAGGCCGGACGAACCTGACGGAAGCCTCCCTGTGCGCACACCGGCAGCACAGTGACAAATGCAGAGTGATTTCCAGGTATTGTTCGTGAATTAGGAGGGATACACTGCACATATTATTCTCTAAACTTTAGAGTCTAAAGGAAACCACCAGAGTGTCTGTGACAGACTGTTCTCTGGCTTTAACATTCAGCATGAACAAAGTATAGATGGAGAAGCCAGATTCAAGAGGGGGACTGGAAAAAAGCAGGAAGTGAGAGGGGTATAAATGGCCCGGGCTGGACGTAACAGAGACTTCGCACCACGGATCCGAAAGGCATCTGGATGGAGAGAACACCCTATGGTTACCGAAAGCTGCCTTTTGTGACCTTAGTGCTCATCTTTCCAATTCAGGTTTCTTCGGCGCCCCCCCTCCCC